CATATGTGACAGGGGTTGGCCATCTCCGCTCCAAGTTCTAGACCCTAAGCTATTCCAGAACAGTGCTCAGCATCAGGGGACACCTGCAACAACAGTGCCTTGTTGCAGGTGTCCATACCTCTTCTGTAAGATAAAGCAGCCTTGTGGTCAGCGGCATAAGTAAGACTGGCCAACCAGGGCAAGAGCCCCATGTGCTAACTTAGGGGAGGGGAATGGAAACAGTGCAGCTACTGCCACAGCTGCACACCCATAATATCAGCACAGCAGGAGGCAGAAGTTGGTGCATCACAGGAGCCCTGGGCAGCCAACTGCTTTGTTATACCTCTGCTCATGGAGCTGATGTCTAATGACCCTTAAGGAGTTGCTTCAGCTCCCCCTTTTCACCCCTGTCATCTCTGTTTCCTGTTCCCAGACTACCCCAGAATGTCCTCTATGATGGCTTGCTCAGGATTCAGGGGCCATAGGGGATTGCACAGCTCCTGGTTTAGGACAGCCTTAAGTCCCTTCCACATAGCTCATGCAGTAGTAGGGGACTGCAGAGAAGCTGAGTAACTGGTATTATGCTTTTACCATCACTTCTTTGCAGCTATATCAAATGTACATAGAATCCTTTTGCATTAATCCTCATTACATCCTAGAATACTTATTCCATATCAAGCACTTCTCTGCAGTTGATCAAATGCCTCTATCATTGATTACATAACTATTTGTCCCACATATATGGTAGTGAGTAGGAAAGAGAGAATCATCCTCTTCTTGAAAAATCCTGTTGTACTCTATCCAGCTCCATACTGTAGGTTTTCCTGTATTAATACTTTGTGCAAATCAAAAGGAAGAACAAAGAAAATAAATTATCTCAGGTGTGGGGGGAGGAGGGGTAAGGAGATGGATGGGGAAAGAGCAGGGGGGAATTTTGCCATTTTTTTATTGCAAAAAAAGGGCCAGATTTTTTACTGCCTCTCTCAGGCATATCAATGGAAGCCCTGGTAGAAGGAGATACTAAGTCACATGAAGAAGGCTGGCAGCATCTGGATTCCCCTGAATATCTACATGCTGGAGAATCATGAAAACTAGTATCAACTGACAGAAATTCTGCAACTTCACCATGGCTCAGATTTGTAGATATTCATAAGAAATACGTATTTTGCATGATGCACACAGTTTATGTTTCCCAGTACTTCTTAAGGCAGATATTTTGATTAGGCTGTCTGTGAAAGGTAAAGCAGAGGTGAGAAAGAAGCAATATTTTTGTACATCTGATTTATATGAAGAGCTACAGATATCAATGCATAGCACATTTAGTGCAGTAAAAATGGATGTAGAGTAACTTGAGCGCTCTTTTTCTTTAAGGGATAACATAACATGCATCTAATTTCTTTAAATCAAATGATGATGTCCTAAGGGGTTGAATGCCTCAGTGAATTAATGCACTGAACATTTGAGCTTAGGAACCAGTCTGAATTAAAAAATGGGTAATATGACCAATAAACATCCTAATTAGTTGACATTTAAAGAAATCCAGAAGGAATGAGTTCAAATTGTTTTAATGAAATTCACCCAATACTTGGCTCCTGCTACTCAGATTAGTTTTCATGTACCCTAGATCTGAGTATACTGTATGCGTCACTGTATTACTAATATTATGACACAATAGAAGGAAGTAAAGATTGCTCTTATTTCTACTCATGGTTGAAACGAAAGATGCTTTCTCTCAACAGCAACAAGATTGGAACTTTGAAAAATGAGCAACATGGCTCAAAAATGTTGCCCATCTGGATAAGACATACTGGATAACTTTGTTGGGTGGAAGTAGGAGAAAGAAGCAGCAGTTGCTTGCAGCCTCACACAGTCCACATTCTGCTAGTTTATAATAACCTAATTTGGCCACTGGCTGTTCCACATACGGAGCCAAAATGGAGAGAGAATTTGGACTGAGGTATTGAATTTTACTCTCATTTATGCTACTATAAATCTGGCTAGACTGCATTAGATATACTCTGAATTTACACCTGTATGAATGAGGGCAGAATCTAATCCATGTTTCTTTCTTTCCATCGGTAGTAATGCTGCTTACTCCCTCAGCTAGATCTGTAGGGACCTCAGTTTTGATTGAGCAAATATGGAGCTGCACTGTACTATTATGAGCAGTTCTGCAGCACCAAAATGCATAAGGGCACCCTGTAGAAGACATAAAATACACATGGTCCCTGCCCCAATTAATATGAGGGCCAGGGTGGCATACAGATGGCTCTGAGGTATACTTTTCTTCCTTCTACCCCCACTACATGGCCCACCTCTAAATGAAATCAGTCTTTAGGCTTGGCTTGATGTTTAGCAACAAAACCTTATTTAAGCAAGGGTCACTGTTAGGTCTCATTCATTGATGTGTGGACATAGTGTGGACAACATTAGATAGACCAGTTATTCCATTGTTTAGCTCACCTCTATTTTTCAGCTAGGAAATTTTCCAGGACATGCTGTTTTTCCTTTTAAAATGAAGAGGCTACCAGATGGAAGAAAAGGAAGTGAGTGTTTGATACCAGGTAGCTATTCCAGCTAATGACAAATCAAAGGGAAACACTGCTAGTAAGCTAATTCTGTAATGGGGCTGTCTTATGTTATCATTTATGTTTCCCTATTGCTGTAAGAGTATTTTAATAATCTACATAGCATTTAATTATAATTCAGTTACCTGACATAAGTAATTTCAGTGCCCTTTAATATAACAAATCTCTAGTGTGAAATATCTGAGTAATAAGACCTGACAGGTGGTGGTTATTATTCTGCAAACCTGACTGTCTTCAACTGTACTGAATGCTTTTAATAAAACAACCTTCACTTAAAACCCAGGAGTGGTCAAAGTGCGGTCCATGGGATTTCACAAGTCATCCCCCAGCTGCCCTCATAATATGGAGGTTTGATTTGCAGAGATTCCAGGTTGTATGTGCAGCTATACATTGGATCAAAACAGGAGCTGATTGCCCTGCACCCACAGTGCAGAATAAGGACTGCTCTGTCTTGTGAGGAAGAAGCATTGCTTACCAGGAAGAAGAAAGACTGATTGAAGGCTTAGTTCATAGCTGGTTGAATGCCAACGGACTGTGCTACCAATTCACCGTGTCATTTTGTGAAAGCTACTTAGGGCTGGATCCAGAAAACAGCTTAAGGTGCACAATGCTCAGTGTTGCCACTCCTGACTTTTAGGAGCCTGGCCTCCTGATCAAAGCTACAGCCCTGAGGCCCCTTGTATGATTCATAAAGGAAAGAATCTACGAATGGGATTCACAGAAGATAGCACACTGAAGAGGAAGCTGCCTAAGTTGGCTGGTAAGTGGGTGCATCCACATAAGACATTTACCGTGCAGGAGACTAATTAGCTGTGCAGTAAATACCACGTGTCTACATGTATGCCCCTATTAGGCTGGAGTAAACTAATTTACTCTGCAGCAGGGTAGTACTTGTGAATACTAGTACTATCCTGCTGCAGAGTCAAAAAGTCTGCAACAGCACACGTGTAGGTGCTGCCCCGGCTGGCTGGGGTAGAAGGGTGCTTCAGGGCAGGTGCTGCCTGCCGGCGAGCCCTGCACTGGAGCACCCTCGTGCCCCAGCCAACCCCTTTGCAACATGTTGAGGCAGGGTGGCAGCCCCCGGCTGGGAGGCTGACCCCCCTGGGGCCCTCCACCAGCCAGGGCTGCTCCAGCCTGGCTCAATGTGTTGCGGTCCTGGGTGCGTGTGAAGATGGGTTCCCAGGAGCAATAAACTGCGGATCAATAAGCTCTGGAATTTATTCAATACCATTAATATGCACGTGTAGATGTGCAGCATAGTGCTGCTGAGAAGGCTCTATCTTAAGTCCTGTTTTGGTGACTAACTTTAGGTTTCAGGGAAGCACCTTCTCCACTTGACCCCTACATCCGAGAGCCCCCTTTTTAACAAATTTAATATTGAACACAATAAAATACGTGAATGGTGGAGCAAGGACTGAAAATCAGTTCTGACTGCTGCCTGGTAAACTCCCTGCCCACTAGGCTAGAAAGTTAGGCTCCTTTTTGCTCTGTCTTTTAGGCTCTGTGAATCTTTAATTATTGAAATTATTCCATTTAAAAACCTCAGTAGGGGGAAGTGGTTGTAGCCTCCCCAATACCAGTGGGCAGTTGGACATGTAGGTTCAAAATCCCTCAGTCAAAGTAGGGAATTGAACCCAGGTCTCCCACATCAGGAGTGTCTTCTGACTCTCAGGTGAAACAAAACAGGAACGCCTAGTTTATGGATCCTGGTGGGGCTTGGTCATGTTAGGCACCCAGCCTCCCAAGGGCTGAGGTTCTTCTGTGCATGAAAAGAGGTTCAGGCACCTAGGAAATTTTACTGAGGCATCTCAAGACATCAGATACCTCTGAGGTAGGTAGCAGCTGGGAAGGGGTTTTGATGATCGTCGGGTCTCATGTGGGCATTAGGCAGAAGATAGGAGCCTGCCTAAGTGCTTCTGTGGATCTAGTTATTAGACTAGACACTCTTCTAAGCTCATGCTTACATCTCTCTCTCTGTCTTTCTGGTATCTCCTCATGGAAAACCTGCCTCTTCCTTAAACAACCTCTGACAAAAACTGAGCTCTGCATCTTTCCCGCTAAACCCTGTCTATCCCCTTTCTTTATTACTGTTGATAACCCTACCACTTCTTGTCATGAGGCTGGCTCCCAGGGGGTTATGCTCCATTACTTGCTCCTTATCTCTCCCTAAATCCAGGAGCTCAGCAAATATTTTTATTGAGGCCTGGGGTTGTAGAAACTGTTTTCTGCACTCCTTTCATAAGCCCCCACTAAGTTGTTTTCAGCTTCATCTTAGGGCCAGGCTCAGAGTGATTCCTTCAAGGCTTACAAGCCTGGGGTGTAACTTCCTTGCTTATAAAGCAGCGATAAGTGGCCCGACAACGCAAACAGCTTCCCCAAGCTGCCCTGACCTGCTAAAGGGTATTCCTAAGTGGGTTAAGGCTCTTTTCAGAAAGAGCTAGAAAATACATACAATTATTTTTGGCCAGATATGTGAACAAAACTAGCAGGGAGAAGCCAACAGAGAATGAATGCATGCTAAACCATCCCAGGGCTGAAACAGCAGCTGCAGTTCAAGGTGGTGAGGGTGATTGTTACCCACTGCTCGTACTTCTTAACCCGACTCAAGGATGAGGCACAGGGAGGTTGCAGGGTGTGTGTGAATCGGCAGAATCAATCGTGGCGTGGGGATGTTCTGTTAAAAATAAAATGCAGAAATAAGTGGTGACCTGACATATGCCAGAGGAAGTTAAGGAAGCAAAGCTACAGATGATAGAAGCTGTGAGTGTGAACAGAAGATGTGAGACACAAGAATGTCTTCGGGAAAGGTGGCAACAGCTCCCAGGTCAGATGAGACTGGGAAGAGATCTGGGAAAAACAGGGAGGAGGAGTGAAAATGTAAACACCAACGACTGCCTGTGAATGTAGGGAACAAACAAGCAAGGAGCAGGGGGACCGACAGCAGGGCTCTCCGCTGACAGCTAAAGAACAGCATACGGTTATGTCGTGCATGGGCTTTGCAATGGGAGGATGCAGCTCAGGACACCAAGGAGTCAGAGGTCATTGCTATGAAACAGTGAAAAGCTTTGCTAGTTTATTTTATTTTTGCATAGGCATTTTGATATTCTTTACTGGACTGTTTGTCTGCTTACCCTTTAGTCCCACTGCTGACCACAGTATGCGTGTCCTGCACAAGATAACAGTGTAAAACAGTGGTTCTCAGCTTTTTAGCATTCAAGGCACTGCTCACTAGCTCAAGGCACCCTTTGGAAAATCCCAACTTTTAGTTTTCACTTGTTGTTTGACTACAGAAAAATAACAGAGCAATTCTTCTGTTGGAGAACTCAGAAAGGCCACAACAGGTCAGAGCATGTTTAGCACTACTTGAAAAACCTGGATTTAACTTGTGAATCACGTTTGCAGCCCTAACAGTGCTAACATTGCACAGCACCCCCTGACATCCCAGAAAGCACCCTGGTTGAGAATCACTGGTATAACAGGGTAGTTTGTCCCTTAAAAAAGGGGGCAGCCCAGCACTGTTAAGGGCATTCACCTGGTGGGGCTTTCTGATAACAAGGGAGTGGCAGCTCCACTGAGAGTTTAAAAACCCAGAGAAGGGGGCTGAGAAAAGGCCAAATTGTAAGGGAAAAGTTGGCAAGGAGTAAAGAAGCAGGCTATGAGCTGAAGAGCCTGCACAGAGTGGCCAGGCTGTTGTGCTGGGGCTAGAGCTAAGGGGTTCCTCTCCTAGTGCCTACGAGAGGACAAGGGTTTAGTTTTGGTACCTAAATACTTTGTTTTATTTGGGAGGACTGGCTCAAGAGCTCCTTTGGGAGTAAAATCTGCCTGAAAAAGGCAGCAGGCTAAGCAGCCCACTTATAAATTGATGCATTATTTTCCTTTTAAATTGTTATTTAACAGCAGTTGGTCCATGACAATTATTTGAGTAATATTTGCTTAAACCAGTATATCTCACCACACTATCTGCTCAGGTTTGGAGCTGGCTTCCAGAACTGTTGTCATGATTTGCATACTCAGGGCATCTCACTGAAACCAGTATTGACACCACTAGATTTTCACTGGAGTCAATGAGAGCAGATTCAAATCCTTAATTCACTCTTGCAAATACCAAAATGGGACTATAAAAGTGTTAATTGTCTGGAAAGGACCAGGTGGAGGCAGAGGCCTGATTGCAGTAATTGACAGAACCCATTCTCAAAACAGCTTTCAACCCATTGTGAAAAGGGGGTTTGCTAAGAATGCTATTATTAACTCAGCCCTTGTGCAGGTTGTTACATAATAAAAAGAAAGTTGCCTCAAACATTGCTACAAGGAGAAATGACTTTAACAACCAAAATACTATAATTTGCTAATTTGGGACAAAATTCAAATCGTCTCCCCTGAGAAGGTCACTGCAGATGCATCGCGTGTGCAGCTACTGGAACTTTCATCATCCAGTTGATAAACTGCAACATTCAATACCTTGGGTTGAATTCAAAGAGGATGAAATTCCCCATTGTTACAAAGGGCTAACTTGAAGCTGCTTTGTGGGTTGAAGTGGGACCCTGCTCTGTTTTCAGAGTTGAAGTCCACTTATGAATAATGCTGTTCCTGCTGGACTTTCTGCATAATGAACATTTGAGCTAAAAATTATTGAACTGTCAGGCCCTTAACATTGTAGTCTTAGGATGGCTGCATCTGCTATGGAAGACATATAAACAATGGTATGATATTTGGGGCTTCTAGATATGTCTCTAAATATATCTCTATTTATGAAATATATTTACACCCATGCCCTCTTGTTGGGGCCCTCTATGAGTCAGGAAGACAGCCTCCCGATATGAGAAAGGAGGAAAGCTACCTTGGGCTCCTTTCCTGTAAACTTCTTTGAACTCTATCTCCTCCCTTCTGGAGTGCTCCCCCATCGAGGAAAGTGTTTTCTCAATTCTATGGAGAGACAACTTCATCAAATGACCCAGATACAGCTCAGGCCCAGATACAGCTCAGGGAGCACATCTTCTTTTTTGAGGGTACCAAACAGGTTTGGATCTCCCTAGCCACTGAGCCAGGACAGAGGAAAGAACTGGACAATCTGGTTCCCCCTCTCACCCCAGCTTATAGACTTCATAGTCCCTCTTGATTCTGTGATAAGAGCCTTTTCTTCCTGAAAAATAATTGATTTGTGTTTTCTTGTTCGAGTGGTAGCAGTCAGTACTCTTGATACAGAGTTCAAGCCTAATGGTGCTGCCTGATAAGTTCTTTTATGTTCAACTATCAGTATAATTATTTTAGCCATTTTCTTTGAAAACCAAAAAGCTAAGAGGAAACATGAAAATACCTAGGTGAAAAGACTGTTAGTTAGGTATCCAGACAAAGTACCTGAGAGCCAGGAAATGTCAGATTTAGGATTGCATATTTAAACATAATTCTCCCTTCTTATGCATATGCATAATGATACAGTTTAATGATAGGAACACATCTTTTT